GTGTCCTATCCAGGCTGAAGTGAATTATCATGTAACTAATGATAGTTCGTGGTGGGTCTGACCTGAAGTCACCAAACGTAGTCCTGTGATAGAAATCCGCGCACGTATGGTATTTTGAGAGGCTTTAATATGGCACTAGTAAATCAGAATATCCTGTTTATCACAAGGTGACACCTTGGGATGTGTATTATTATTCTGAAGTGAAATAATCATGTAACTATTGATAGTTCCCTTTTCATTGTAATCATATATCGACCTGAAGTAGTCTCGTGAATTAGACTTTGGAATGGTACATCAGAATGTCCTGGTTCTCGCTGAGTGTCACCCTGGGAATGGGTCCTATACGTCCGACGTAATATGATCATGATACTACTGATAGTTTCCTTTTAATTCTAACCTAAAATTGACCGGAGGTTGGCTGGGCATTTGCGTATGACCTTAATAATGTTAAAGACGAAATTTGCGAAGCAGGATTCTTGGCGTCGTGCGGAGTTGCGAGGACTTCTAACGCTAGCTCGCAGCTGAAATTTAAATTGAGTCCCTCCGGTGTCCTGAAGTGTTTGTGTTGAATTCTTTACATTCTCAAAGCCGCACCTGTCTTTCTGCATAATAGAACTAATTTCCCAGCATTAGGAGCAGGCAAGCATCAGCATTCAGGCCAGTGGACTCCCCTGCCAACATAAACACAACCAGTACTTCCTATACTGCGAAGAGAACAAAGGGGTCGGGTAATTAGAATGTGAGCTCTGAACTCGACAGAATATTGACAGCGGTGGGGGGGGGGGGGGGGGGCGGATCAGTGATCAAAATTTTGCAAGCAAAATTTCCTGTTACGAATGGAGGAAAGGAGCGACGTCGACCGGCTTCTCATGCGTCCGGACTTCAAAAACTATTTTTTTTTTTTATCATTTTAGAATCGAAATAGGGGCAAATGTTGCTGCAGTTTGAGCGGTCACATTTCCAGATAACCGAGGTCCTGGTTGTGGTTCCGTCCCGGGTTCAATAAGCCTCGCATGCAGAGTGGAGGAGGGCTGCATTCATACAGTCACATGCATCAGACTGGAGTAGCCCACGCCTTCTGTCAGTGACCAACCACTGTGTGCGTCAGCTAGCCAGCCCCTTCAAACGTCCCTACGCGGAGTCTGAACACAGTTCCCTGTTTTCTCTCTCCGTCATTCTCTTTTTTCTTTTCTTTTTTTTTTTTTTTCAGGCTCTGAAAGCAGGCAGTGCTCAGAAAAATAGACTACCGACCAGCTCCACCATTCTCCTTACTCCTGCGCTTTTTCTCTATCATTTTGAGCCTCTTCTCCTCCCGCAGGCGGGCCTCCTCCTCCTCCTGGTCCTGCCGGCACTTGTGGAAGTTCTCCACCACCACGCCGACGAACATGTTGAGGACGAAGAAGCTGACGATGAGCAGGAAGGAGATGAAGTAGAGCAGCATCCAGGGGTTGTGGTTCCTCACGGGCTGAGGAGGACAAGAGCAGAAGGTGGAAGCCGTCGTTAGCGATGGGACGGCTCCTCCGCTTGCTTTGACCGGGTGTCGGTGTGGTTTCCTCCAGACGTCTGATGCCGGTTCTTTACCTGTTGGTCCACTCCCACCGCGTCCAGCCCGTCGTACATGATGTTGACCCAGCCGTCCTTACAGGACAGCACGAACAGGGACATGAGAGCCTGGACAAGGGGGGAGACACGAGGAAGGAAGTCAAAAGCGGGAGGATTTCTCCGGTCCCATCAGTGCACACAGACAACCAGCTCCAGGACCCGTTGTCCACAATGTCCACACCTGAATCAGGTTGTCAAAGTTGTACTTCCTGCGTATCCAGCGGTAGTTGGCCTGCAGGCAGTCCGACTTGTTGGTGATGTTTTTCATGTCCAGACCTTCACAGTGGTAGAACTTCCCTTTGAACAGCTACAGAGGAGAGAGAAGACAACTCACTCATTAACGTTCCCACTCCCAAAAGGACCGTCCATGGAGGACATTGATATAAGAGGTTTTCCTTCTGGGAGGGGGGGGGTGGTGGGGGGTTTCCTTCTGTGTCCCCCGCGTGGGACGGCAGGCTACCTGAACGCCCAGGATGCCGAAGACGATGAAGAAGGCGCAGCAGATGAGGACGATGTTCCCGATGGGTCTGAGGGAGGTGATGAGCGTCTCCACGACCAGCTTCAGTCCCGGAGCTCGGCTGATCACCCTGGGGGGGGGGGGGGGGGGACACGAACGGAGACGCGCAGAGGTCCATCAGGGTCCAGCGCAGCCCAGCACAGCCCAGTACCGGCTGACACACACACGGGCCGAGGCGCCTACCTCAGCGGGCGTAGCGTCCGTAGCAGGCGCAGCACTCGGAGGATGCCCAGGATCCGGTTCCCGCCGGTGTAGGCCATAGAGACCAGGATGTCCACCAGAGACACCAACACCAACACCCCGTCCAGCACGTTCCAGCTGGACTGGAGGTACGTCTGCTTCCCAAAGCAGAAACCGAGCGCCACCACCTGGAGAAAACGAGGGTCAGAGCGACGATTACACCAGCTACACCCGTTCGCCACGCCGACGGAGGCGGAGCCAGCGGCGCTCACCTTCACGGCCATCTCCGCCAGGAAGATCACAGTGAACACGTAGTTGGACACGCTGAGGAACACCCGCTCCTGGAGGGAGAGAGAGGGAGACACACATGAGGGGCATTTCAGCGTAGAGATCTTTACCCCCAACACAGCAGGGCGGGACAGGACGGGACAGGACAGGACGGGACAGGGCGGGACAGGACGGCCCGACTGGAATCAAACAGCGTCCTGAGAGTTGACGGATGCAGGGACGAGACGAACTGACAATAGTGCCGTGTGATGAATGTATTCATATATGAATACATGAAGTGTGTGTGTGTGTGTGTGTGTGTGTGTGTGTGTGTGTGTGTGTGTGTGTGTGTGTGTCTCTCACCTTGCTTTGGAGCGGAATATCAGGTCTTTCCAGAGCGATGGTGATGCAGTTGAGGAAGATGAAAACCAGAACCACGTGGTCGAACAATTTATGAGAGATCACACTCTGGCACCACCCACGGCATCTAGGACACACACACACACACACACACACACACACACAGTCATCTATTAAACGTGCACGGTCGGTTAAAGCTATTGAGCAAACGATTAGCAGTGAGAAAAACGATAAAGAGGGAAAAAACAGAGAGCGGAGCAAACGAGATGATTGAATTAGGAGGCGAGGAGCACGGAGGAGGAAAGAGGAGAACCCGAGACAGACAGACAGAGGGACAGAGAGACAGACAGAGAAACAGAGAGACAGACAGACAGACAGAGAGACAAACAGACAGAGAGACAGACAGACAGAGACGGAAGCTGCAGATTGAAGATGGGATTCGGTGTGCGAGACTCACTTGCTCTCGGGAGAGAACAAATACATCGTCCAGTCTTCGTGCTCTCTGCACCAGCGGGGCTTCATGTTCACGAGCTCCTTCCTCATCCAGTGCCAGAAGGAACTCTGCAGATGTGAGAGCTCAGACGTGAACATCATCATCATCATCCTCATCCTCAGCAACAACCGACACTTGCACTTCTGTTACACCATCCACGCCGCGGAGAAGAAACACATCGGAGGCCCCGAAGCTAAACCCAAAGTTCTGATATAATTTCAGGACTTTTATTTTGTCAGTGTTCCGTAGTCAAGCTCCTGCAGCCACATCGAGTAACCTCTGCTGGTCCTACGTGCACGTTAAATAGAACAAAGAAAAAATACACAGTCCTTTAAAATGTAATAGTGAACGAAACAGTGCACGGTTCGATTTGAGTTTCCAGAGCAGATGTTCCGCATTTGAATCTACGGGGGCACGATAAACAAGTGTTAACTGGCCCATAACTCCCAATTTAGCCGGTCCGAAGGCTCAATAGAAAGTGCTGTGAAAGTCATTAAAGTCTCTAATAAAACAAACAGAGGGAAGCCTCAAGGCACCGCTTCTGTTCCTCAGGATTCCAATTAAAAACAGCCCAAATTCAAGCCTCTCAGCGTGTGTGTGTGTCTGTGTGTGTCTGTGTGTGTGTGTGTGTGTGTGTGTGTGTGTGTGTCTGTGTGTGTAAACTGGAGAGAACCGGATGCTCGCGTTTCCTTGGAGCTGAAAAAATCCCCATAATCCCCCGACCGGGCGCCGCGTGCACACGCACACGTCTCAGCCGGCGTGTCACATGCGTGCGCTCAAACACACGCGTGCTCAGCGAATACGCTGACAGGGGAGGTGTTTTAAGCCCCGCCTTCAGGGAGGGGCCTTTTGTTTCGGAGGATTTCGAGGCTTTGACACGATGAAAACCATCGACAGTTTCACAACAGAGGACATCCACCAACACACGCACACGCACACGCATGTTCAACCGCAGTGACTCATAAGTCTTTGCCCCCCCAGTGAGCGAACAGTTCCCCCCCCCCCCACCCGTTGATTTAGTGAACGCCACTCTAAAAAAGCCCCGATGACGTACGTCGTCGTCCATGTCGTCTTCCGGCGAGGAGTCGTCTTTGGGGTCGGCGGAGTTCACGTTGGGGTCGTAGGTCGCGGTCCTGCCGTTACAGTCCCCGTGCTCCGCTGGGACGGAGGGGCAGAGCGTGGACGCCTGCAGCAGCTCCAGGGACTCCGGCCGCGGCCGGTTGTTGCCCCCGGCCTCCCCGGCGCCCTCCCGGCCGTCTCCCTCCTCGCCCCCCTCGCCGGACAGCAGGCTCTCCCTCTCCCCGCTGGTGTCTCGCCTCTTGAGGCTCGGCGCTCTTCCCAGGCTGTTCCAGCTGGAGCGACGGCTCCCCCACGAGCGGGGAGGGAGAGGGGAGCGCCGGCCGGGACTGGAGAGGCCCTGGAGAGACAGAAAGAGGGAGTAAGCGTGGCGGGGAGGCGGGGGGGGAGACGCGTGCGACACAAGTTCCGAAAGGAGCAGCTGAAGAGGACCGTTCCTCACCAGGGAATGCTGGTCGTAGGCCAAAGGGCCCATGGAGGCGGAGCTTCCACGGCGAGACCCTGCGTGGATGCTTCCCGCATCGCCAAACCCCGGCCCCGCCTCCCCGTACGGGGCCACGCCCTCCTCCAGGACCGACTCGGGGCCCAGAGAGCTCTTCGGGGTGGGCATGGGGGTGGCTGCCGTGCGCATGATTATGGGAGGAGACACGCCGTTGGCCGTCATCATCAGAGAGTACATCTTTAGCTCTGCGGAGAGATGAAGTCGTGCTCGTCATCATTCGTTCGGTTATTTGGTGATACGAGCTCGGTGCTTCTTTGGACGTACCGCCGTCTCTGAGCTGATCCACCTTCTCGTCCTCCTCAAAGTTGTCCGATTTTTTGTCATCGTCTGACTCCGAGCGATTAGCGTCGCCCTGCAGCACGCACACGCACACACACACACACACACACAATCATTGCAACTTTCCTCTTTAAACTGGTTAAAGTGTGACGCACAACACGTGCAGGAGAGGAGTTCTATCTGAAGGGAGGGTTGGGTTCAGCCGGTGCGTCGGGTTCTGGTCGCGTAAAAGCAGCGGCGCCTCACGTCATGTGACAGGGTGCTAATTGGGAGTCGGAAGGCACAACCCCTCCGACGGCCCCACCGGAGGTTGATTAAAAGCCGGAGAAGACCCTCGTCCACCATTCACACGGTTGGGAAGTAGAGACGGTTGTTAAAAAGACACTCGTCTCAAATCTGCTCCCCAGGCGTTAGCGCCGTTATTATGAGACTCCGGCGTATTATTCTCATTCTTATTCTTTCAAATTGCAAATTGAAAAGTGTTTAATTAAATGAAAGGACACTCGCTCTATTATATTATATATATATATATATAAATATACTCTTATACTATTGTTCTCACCTCAGCCTGGAAGCCCTCTACCAAGATGGCCACGAGTAAATTGAAGAGCACGTAGTTGCCGAAAGTCATGAGAGCAACAAAGTAGAGCGCCGCCCACGGCGAGGTGGAGGCCATGCCGTTGTACAAGACCACGTTCCAGTCCTCCTGCGTGAGAATCTGTCACGCAGACGAAACACACAGTCAGGTTGGCAGAGTGACACAAAGACGGTGGGGGGGGGGGGTATCTAGCTACTGATACACGCCGCGGCGGTGTCTGTCTGCGTGCACTGCGCGGCCATGAAAGCGCTGGAACTAGGACGGCGTGCGCGGTGCAGCATGAAAGCCGGCCGCATCCCACTCGTTGGAGGAGGCGTGCACGCGCACACGCACGCACACACACACACACACACACACACCAGAGTGAGGCAGCGCTGCATTCTGCTGACGCACCCGGTGCAGAATAGAGCAGAATTCATCTGGAGCGATTGGACGATATCTCCACATGAGGGAGAAGGAGACAGAGATGATGGCGAGGGAGCCGGTGCGTAAGCAGAATTTCTTGTTTCACAGCATTTGACTAACGAGCGCGAGTTGGCAGTCGGGTTTGGCATCCACACGCACACGCACACATACACGCACACACACACACTGAAACAGTTCGGCTGCACGGAGGGTTTTGTGCCGCCAGTTTAAGTGCGTCCAAACATGCGGCGACGTGACGACGGGGAACAAGCGGAGCACGGGGGCACGACGTCGGGGGGAAGGCCGACCTGGAACACCGTGACGATGGCCCAGAGCAGCGAGTCAAAGTTCTTGCGGTCGGGGATGGTGTCTCCGTTCTCCGTCTGGAGACTGAACTTACAGCCGAAGAGGTGCATGCCCAGGATGCTGTGGAAGACAAAAAGCACGCGCCGTCGTCACGGCGCAGGCAGAACACGGATTGGGAATAGCGAGCGTGTGTGTGTGTGTGTGTGTGTGCGCGCGTGCCTGAAGGTGAAGATGAAAAGCATCAGCAGCATGCAGAAGGTGGCCACGTTGTCCATGGTCTTCATCAGCACCACCAGCTGTCTCCTCAGAGCCGGCAGGAAGCGGACCAGCTTCAGGACCCGCAGCAGGCGGAAGGTCCGCAGCACCGACAACCCGCCGTCCGCTTGGCCGATTATCTCCCACACGCTGAGGAGCAGACGCAGCCGGCGTTGGAACGCTACTGGACGTGATGTGCTCGCTGTGCCGCGAGGACTGACCAGCAGGGGGAAGAAGAAGTGGATAGATGTCCTGAGGATTACCTGATGATCACAATGACGCTGTCGAAGATGTTGTACGGGTTCCTGATGTAACCGAACAGGCCGAACGCCAGCAGCATGAAGCCCATCTCCAGCACGAACATGCTGGTGAAGACGATGTTACTGATCTCCAACACGTCCGTCAACTCCTCGGGCTGACGGGGGGACGGGGGGGGGGGAAGGAGGAAGGAAAAAGGAGGCCAGAAGGAAACAGCGTGTTAGTCAACATCTGCAGTCTATCACCCCTCCCGAGCTTCAGGTCCCGCCCCCGATCTGTCACAAGGGACCAACAGCAGCGCTCCATCGGCGCCGGTCTCCTCCGCCCACCCCGCCCCCGCGGCCCGGCGGCCAGTACGGCGCGACGGGGGGGCCGCTCTCATAAAGCACGTAGGCGAGCGTCCAGGCGGGGAGGAAGAGGCATCGCGTCGCCATAGAAACGATTCGCTCGGGCTGCAGCGGCGGACTAAACGTGCGGCCTTGGATTAAATGTTCACCGAGTAACTGGACGAATGATGATGAGGACTCGCTAGAAAATGATGATGTCAACATCCATCTGTCCGGAAATGTCCTGAAAAGACATAATTAATTACTTTGCAACAAAAGAGGCGGTTTGACCCGAGCGGACTTCATTCGGGGAGCCACACATTCGCGCGGTGGTCGGTTAAAATCCCAAACGTCCCAATTTGTTTGCATCCCATTGAGGCCGACACGCGCGATTAAAACGTGGCCCGAGGGAGCGACGCTGTTTGCACCTCCAGTTTGGGACGCTACACGGGTTTGTGTATGAAACTTGGCGTCGGCCCGAGGAAGCGCTCGATTCGTTACACAAGCGGATACACAAATCGTTTTTTTCACCTCCATTAGAAGGACGAGGCCTTGGCGGCAGGTCCGTGTCATCCAAGTGCCGTTTTAGCTGCTGCTAACTCCTGCACTTTACGGAAGCTTCCACTGCGAGAAAATAATTGAACGATCCCATTTTGGTGCGCTGGTTGCTGTGCGTCCGTCCTCCCGCAGTGCGCGTTGTGTTCTCCAAATCGTGTTACTATTTTCAGCTGATGAGCTTTCGAGTTAATTGGGACAGTCGGTGAGGTTTGAAAAGCAAAGCAGAAACAGACGCCAGCTCAGAATGCAGAGAGCCGGATGTCCAGGGGAGCCGAGCTCGTCTTCTGCAAACCCCTCAATACGAGACAGAGGACTCGGCCATCGGGGGATTTAAAGCGTTGGTGTTCCCTGAGAAGGGGACGTAACGTTTAACGCATGAGAATCTTCAACTCAACGTCTCACAAATAAAGACATCAAATGTGGAAATCGGCAACTTTGGTCTAAATGAACTTAAAACACCTGCAAAAGTCAAAATGATGGCGATAAAATTCAGAATATAGTGTAAACTGGTGAAGTACGTAGAGGCGATGGCGCCATTATGGACGACCACGTGGAAGGAAGAGAAAGTTCAGGAGCTGGTCAAGTTCAAAGGTCAGGGGAGCAGTTCACACTCCAGTCCTGCAGCCACTGTCGCTTCACGGCCACACACACACACACACACACACACGCACGCACGCACACACACACACACACACACACACACACACACACGCTTTCCCTTCTGTTATCAGACTGGTTCCTCAGACGTTCCTCTCTGCGGTCCGACGGGTTTGTTCTCGTGTCACTTACTGCTTATCAATAAGAAACATTCTGAAGATGGATTTTATTCACCGTAAAAAAAAAGTATTTTCTGATGTATAAACTGATGGAAAAATGTTTTATACGTATATTTTAACCTGGAGTTTGTCTCCTTAAGATGCCAGTTCAGACACACACACACACACACACACACAGCGTGCACCGTGCACACACACACACACACACAGCGTGCACCGTGCACACACACACACACACACACACACACAGGCACATAAAGTTTGGCTAGGTGTCGCACAAGCAGGATGATAAGTGCTGAGGGGAGGAGGAACTCTTACATAACCCTCCTGTGTGTGTGTGTGTGTGTGTGTCTGTGTCTCTGTGTGTGTGTGTGTGTGTGTGTGTGTGTGTGTGTGTGTGTGTGTGTGTGTGTCTGTGTCTGTGTGTCTGTGTGTGTGTGTGTGTGTGTGTGTGTGTGTGTGTGTCTGTGTCTGTGTGTGTGTGTGTGTGTGTGTGTGTCTGTGTCTGTGTCTGTGTGTCTGTGTGTGTGTCTGTGTGTGTCTGTGTCTGTGTGTCTGTGTGTTATTGGCCCAATAAGGCCATGGCTCTCCCAGTCGCTTCTTATGTTTATACCACAAAGATAGAAACACAGACGCACACACACACAGACACACACACACACACACACACACATACACACAGAGCCCCTGGAGATGGAATTAGAGGAGCTGGAGGCACGGAGGAGGAAGAGGAGGAGGAAAAGGAGGAGGAAGAGGGGGGGTCGTGTGCATGAATCCTCTCTTTGGGTTAACACCCATTTGCTGGGAATCTGAAAGGTTGTGTGTGTGTGTGCGCATAATGAAAAATAACAATCCCCCCCCCCCCCCTCCCTCCCCCCCTCATCCGACAGTGGGATCCTTGGTGCCCCCCCTCCCGCCCCCACCCGCCCCCCCCCCCCGACCCTCACCTGCTTGTGGTACTCTATCCCCATGCTCAGCGTGTTGACCAGGATGGCGATCATGATCCCGCGGTTGAAGTACTTGCTTTCCACGATCCTCTTCAGCCGTTCCCTGAAGGCCCCCCAGGCCCGGACCGCCCCGTTCTTGTACTCGAGGGGCCCCCGCCGTCGGCTCCGTCCTCGCCCGCCTCGCAGATCCCCCCCCCCCTGAGCGCCGGGCAAATTCAGATTGTGGGTTTTAGTCATTAGCGTAGTGAAACAATAAAATAATCATCCGTCTCCCCCCCCTCCTCTCATCATCAGTTCCCCCCCCCCCCCACGGTGCAGTCTGACCTGGGGGAAGTCTGGCGGCCCGTCGGCCTCCCCCCTGCCTCCCTCCAGGTCTCCCAGCTCCAGCTCCAAGGTCTCCAGGCTGCGGGCACACAGAGGGCAGCTGAGCAGCTCCAGGAGCAGAGGGCTGGGCACCACGCCCGCCAGCTGGTACAGCAGCCTCTGGCGACCTGGGGAGGGGGGGGGGGGGCGGGACAACGGGGAGGGGGGGGCGGAGGTCAGACAAGACAAGTGAGGCCCCTCCTCACTGATCTAATTATTGATTATTTGAAAAGAGAGCAGCACAGATGCATAGAAATCCCGGGGTGGAATAATGTCGTGCTGGGGGGGGGGGGGGGGGGGGGGCGATGGCGAGTCCTGTAGGAGACGACTACTTCCTGTCTGGAGGAAGTGCAGACGTCGGCTCTAATCCGCAGGCTGTCATCATGTTTAACTGTCTTTTATAATCTCACAAAAGAGCTCCTGTGTCTGTTTATCACAGCGTCTCGACTCTCGACAGCTCGTTTGCATTCTCGTCTTTCAGCGGACGGCTTCGGGGCCCAAACTATTAAAATAACATAAATACGGGGGGGGGGGGGGGGGGGGGCTATTCAAGCAAACTAACGGCGTTACATCGCGCGGTTTATCAGAGATTAAAAGCTGAAAGCAAACATTAAGCGACGCACAATCTCTTCCCCCTTTTTTCTCTCATTTGTTTCTATCGATTTGTCTCCCCCTCCTTCCTCCTTCGCGCTTCGCGCCCTTCTCCTCCTCTCCAAATAAAATAACCTCGTGCTTCCGCGTTTCTGTTTAGGCGACTTCACGCTGCCTCCCCCCCCCCTCCCCCTCACTGACCCCCCCACCCGGTCCTCGTCCTTTATCCACCTCGCTGCCCCGCTGGCTGCAGCACGCCAGGCTTGGATTTCCTGTCAGGACTCCATGAGTGCTGTTGGGACTCAGAGGTTACCTCAGGTCAAACTCAAGGGAGGGGCGGGGGCGGGGGGGGGGGGGGGGGGGGCGGAGCTATTTGCCAAAAAAATGAAAGCGGCACAAATGCAGATCGGCGAAGACCGAAAAAAAAACAACGGAGCCTGAGAGAAATCCAGAGGAACGATTAGAAGAATCACACGAGACCCGAACTGGGATTCACCAGCAAGCGTGTGTGCGTGTGTGTGCGTGTGTGTTTGCGTGTGTGCGTGTGCGTGCGCCGTCTCACTGTGTTGTCCCATCAGCTTGTACAGCTTGTTCAGCGTCTCCGTGTGTTCGGGCGCCGGGCGGCTCGGCGTCTGCTGCTCGGGGCCGAGGCCGCACCGCTTGGAGTGGGGCGGCGGCGTCTTGCTGCCGTAGCTGCACACGAACGACGGCAGGATGGTGGGGTAGTTCATGCCCCCGTTCAGGCGGCCCAGCAGCGCCCCCATGCCGCCGCCGCCGCCGCCGCCGCCGGACGCCTCGCCGCTGTTTCCGTGCGCGCTTCCCCTGCGCGCCGGCAGCGACCTCATCTCCAGCCCCTCCGCCGGGCCCTCGACGCCGGCGGGCTCGACGGTGGCCACGGCGATGGCGTGCTGCCCGCCGTTGCTGAGGCGACAGTGCTGGTGCTGATGGTGCTGCAGGAGGTTGTGGATGGGTCTCAACCACGAGGCGCTGCCCGGGCCTAAGCCGCCGCACGCCCTGCTGCTGTGTCCGTTGCCCCCGTTACTGCCGCCGCCGTTAGGGTTCACCTTTTTACGCCTTTTGCTGGTCGAAGGGCGGGAAACATCGATCATTGTGAGTGAGCGATGAGTTCTCTCATCTGGACACAATTAATTGATGCTCGCAACAAAAAACTAACACAATAAAGTCAATCAGGCAATTTCTTTGACGGTGGACGAAAAGGTCGCCGGCGGGCTGACCTGTGCCACCCGGAGTAGATCCTCTGCAGGCGGCGCGTGAGCTTGCGATAGAGGTGGCTGATGTAGCGCAGCATCTCCTCGTAGCAGGAGCCCGGCTCGCTGTAGCTGGCGAGCGTGGAGTCGTTGGACATGTAGCGGGCGCGCTGCTCCCTCATCAGGGCGTTCTCCCGCTGCTTCGTCTCGGAGAACTGGGTGGCGATGACCACGAGGCACAAGTTGATCATGAAGAAAGAGCCCACCTGGACGGGGGGGGGAGGTGGAGGACGGTGGGATGGAAGTCAGAAACATCTGTCAACTCGTGTGTTTTTAAAAGGTTATTACTGTCTCTCGCTCTCTCCCTCTCTCCTCCTATCTCCCCCATCGCCTCCCCCCCCCGTCTCTCTGAGCGGCATAAACAGCACTTTTCACATCAAGCGGCGGGGCGGCAGCGAGCTCACGCAGCGTTATGAAATATTCTTCGACAACAGCACGATATGGAGATATTACGCAAGATAGGAAGTCAGCGGGGGGGGGGTTTGCTTTATAAAGGGTTGGGTCTGGGTTTTTTCATTTATTTTTTCCCCCCCAGCAGGACGGAAACGCACGCACACAAAGACGTCTTTCAGGAGCGGCGTGTCGTACACGAGCGTATTGTTGTGCTGCACCACGACTATGAGACAGAAAATAAAAGAAAGGCGCTTAAAGAAATCGTCTGGCCGTTAAGTGGTACATTTAAATATAATGTCACACATAATTGTGTGTCCTGATCCCACGCGTGATTTGTGTGCGTGGCTGAAGTCATAAAGTGAGCTTTACGGGGCTCGTTAAATGCTTCCCTCTGAAGCCACGGCGAGTGCATGTCGGAGCTCGTAACACAATCGGACATCACAACAAAGAAGACGGGAATCAATGCGAGGAGGTACTTACAATAATGAGCAGTATAAAATATATAAAATTGTAGAAGGAGTGAGCGTCCATGACATAGTACATGATATCCACCCATCCTTCCAGGGTGATGACCTGGTGGTGGAGACAGAAAAGACACACGCTGCATTAAAATACGACAAACACAACCGGGCATGCACGCACCCACAAAGACGCGCAAAGAACACAGAACATTTCCAATTCACTTCTTAATAGAAATAAGCCTTTTGTGTCGCTCCAACCTCTTCCAGACGAGTGTGTGTGTGTGTGTGTGTGTGTGTAAGAGCATGCAACCCAACACGCAACCGTTTGTTTCATGCTCTTTATGCTCAACAGTTACTGAGGAAGCTGCAGACAACAAGCTACTTCCCCCGTTGAACAGGCGCCTTCGTTTCAACCAACCTTCCATCTTTGCCCCCCCGTGTTTGTATCCGTCCCTTATTCATCTTTAACTCGCCGTGTTCATTTTCCTTAAATAATTCATATTAAGTCAAATTTCAATATTTTATGTTAATGTTGGATGCAGCAAAAGCAATGTAGACATTTCACAGATGTCTATCTAAGCACACAGACCCCCGGGTTGTCGTTTTTACACAAATACATCCGGGTACACAAGACGGCGAGTGCACGCGACCACCTACGGTCACGTGTCACACCGGGGGACATGTGACTCAAGACACAAGGTGACGCCCCCTAAACCGTCGGAAGGTCTAAAGCTGAATCCGCCCCCAACACGCACACACACCTCCCGGGGATTAAAATGTCCGTGTGTGTCTGTGTGTGTGCGTCCTCGGTATTTGGGCTGTTTGTGCTACTTTGAAGGTAAGACTCACTTTGAGAACGCCACGTTGCACCAAAGCCAAAGCCTCCCAGAGGCAGAGGCGGATCTCTCAGCGCCTCTCGGTTGCATGTCAGCAACCGCGGAGACGCCGATAAGGGAAAGCTGGAATCGGCCATTCTCACTGCGGGCAGGTGTGTTTTTTTTTTTTTTTCGCCATAGAATACGATGTCACCTGGCTTGACGTGCGCAATCTCGTCCCGCCTTCCCGTACCTGCACCGCGAAGTCTTTCCCTCTCACCTGGAATATGGCGATCCACGCGTAGCCGATGTTGTCGAAGTTGACGGCCCCCTTGTGCGGGTTGAGTTCCCCGGCCTGACACACGTTGTAGTACCGGTTCCAGTTCACGCAGCCGTCGGCGCCGGCCGCCCCGGCCTGCGGAGGCGCGGCCAGCGAGCAGTCGGCCCCGCCCTCGGCGCTGGGGGGCACGCTGCGGCAGCGCAGCATGCCGTTCTCGCGGGGAGCCGAGCAGATGAACGGGCTTTCCTCGCCCTCCTCCGGCTGGTAGTAAGGACTCATGGACAGGTTGTACATTCTGTGATGGGAGGAGAACGGGTGAAATCACACGTCAGTCATCCCCTGCCGACACACGCCGGGGGATCGTTGGCCTTCCACACTCGTTCACGTTGCACCGCAGATACACTGAGAAGACGAAGTAACGGCTCCGTCGTTGAGTTCGCTGCACAGGCGCCAGTCTTTCAGTCACCAGCGACCTACTTTGCTCCCACTCGGATTTCACGCCGATTTCGTGTCGGGCTCTGCAGCTTTCGGCCAAACCAAAATGTTGAAAATGTTCGCCGTTGCGCGTTAACCTCGTTTGGGCCCCGGTTCTCTGCCTTCTCTTTGTGCATTCGCATGTAGGCTGGAATCAACGAGAGGTTGCCTTCCGACTTTAAATCCAAGTCGACGGACTCTGATGCTGAGACATTGTCAATCGCGTCACATCAATCGCTTTTTGTTACGTTTTGTTCTCCTTCCGCAGGCGAAGGGGATGCGACTGCGTTGAGTTGCGCGGCCCTTTTGTCGCATAACGGAAGAAAATTACCCTCGAGTCCCTGAATTTTACATGCATCAGTATCCATGGTGACAGCTGTTTCTCACTGGCGGTGGGAGGTGGCGGGTTTGTCGCACAGTGCCGCCGTGTATTTACACCTCGCGACAGTGAGCGAGTCCCTCAGAGGGACATCGACCCCCCACGTTTCTCTCTGATCGGCCCTCTTTTATCATTTACTTCACTCATCTGCTGCGTGTGCAGAATAAAGTCAATCTAAATTACTGTATTAACGTCTACGTCACTTTAAACGTGAAGATATATTTTTTCTTACTTTCCCTCGTGGGGATCAGCTCTTAATTCCAGCTAAAGCGCCACATCGATGTCAATGCGGTGATTTGTCTTTTGTGTCAATAATAAGAATCTGAAAAGAAACCGGAGATAAATGCAGTGCAGCATGAAGCACAATTCTCCCCGAGGAGCACAAGATGGAGATACTTGAGTGAAGTACAAGTACTTTAAAACCGTGAATCTCTCTCGCGCACGCAGGAAGGACTCGGCGGCGTCGACCGCGGGACAATTTGTCCCATTACATCCAGGCGGAATGCGTTCAGGGACGTCTAAGTGACACGTCGTGGACACTGAAGCGCTTTTCCTTTCTCCCTCTCCTTTGCATAATTCCAGTCCCCGCAGCTAAATCGGTCGACGCGCGATCCGTCCGAGTGTCTTGAGCCCGTTTGTCCCCCGCGGAGACAGCGCTCGTTCCCCAGTGACCTCGTCTTATTCCCCTCGCGTTCCTCTCGTACTTCCACGTTGTGTGCGGCGTGTTTAGTGGCCCCTCAGACAGGAGTTTTTCCTCTGGCCGTAATGGTCTCTTCCGTCGCGGCAGCCAAACAATCCGTTTGTGAAAGAACAATTAATTGCGAGCGGTGCATTTGAACAGAGAGCGAGCGGTTCGAGCTGAGACTGCCAGCGTCTTCAGGATTGATTTGAAAGTTACTTAACTCGTTTAGGAGGCTCCTAATGGTTCGGGACAGGCCTAAATGATTCATTCTTTGATGTTTTGTAATCCACCACCGTCCCTCACGTCCCTCACGTCCTCTGCTGATGTTTATTTAATACAAACTATCACACAAATAAGAAAATTGGCGACCAAGCCTCTTTTATTCATCTGCCAAATGGAGTTTCCTCCCCAAGGCAATAAAAAGTTGTGAGACGACAACTGAAAATAAATCTTTGGTAACTTTGTCTTTATCTTTTGTCTTATTGTGAGCGCGGCGCTTCGTGTTTATCCTCATTGTTATGGTGTATGTTTCCGTCCTGGGTGCTACGCAGTCAGTGTCCTCAACTACTCACAACATGCGTGTTGCCGCTACCGGCAACAGCTGACCGACACAACATATGACCACTCAACAAGAGAAGCAGACGTGTGTCTGCTGCAGGTCACCACATGGAACGAGGAGAACAAGGCATTCAAACTTCTACTGGAGGGTTAAGTCCTTACGTCCGGATGTCCTCCCCCAGGAAGCAGCGGTTGCGCAGTAGTCCCGCCCACAGCTGGACCCCCACGATGCCGAAGATGAAGAAGACAAAGAAGCAGAGGAGGAGGACGTTTCCCAGCATGGGCAGGGTGTCCAGCAGCAGCGTCACCAGGATGCGCATGCCTGCGTGGTGGAGACCGAAGATCAGAAATCATCACGCACGATCACGCTCACCTGCTTCCAGGTTCACACTTCATGACCTCAGTTGGTCTCGCGAGCTCGGGACCCATCAATTTGTCGCCACGGCCGATATAATTACAAGCGATGACGGTACCGAAAGTGACAAGTTTGACATTATTTCCTCCAGGGGGATTTGAGCTCGCAGCTTCCTTGTGGCTAGTGTTATCTAACCCGCCGCATTCAGCATCCGTCTCCAGTTGTCGGAGGCGTTTAGTGTCAGCAGAGTCGGGGATCTCGTCCCTGAGGTCCCTCACGATGAGTTCCGACACTTTCACGTATATATCGGCTATTCCGCAACGCGCGCACTCACCGCGTGGTGCCGCATCCCGCAGGAGACGAGGGAACGCCTTTACTTGCAGAATCAGACACAAACGCTCTTGTTTTCACTTATCATTACGGCCCTTTTGGAATCGATTTGTTGAAATTCAGAATATTAATCTGGAAAATCTGGAATCTGTGGCTGTTGCAGGACTACCTGCCTTTCTACCTTGGATTTTGGGCCAGACACTAAATACTAAATAACTATTATCAATATTAAATACATTCAAACTAAACTTATTTGTGTTAACCGCGAGCACTTGTGCACCACGAATCCTTCACATCCCTCATGGTGAAATCCTGCATTTGGGACGGAGGAAATACGTCTGCTCAGACCGAATCCACCCGCCATCGATCCATCCGAGAGCCGCTTGTGCGCTAACGTGTTTCGCGTGAGAACGTGACTGGCGGGCCGAGCTGTCGGGCGCTCTGAAGAGACGAGGTCACCCAGGGAATCAATCAAATGTCCAGTTTAAATCGTTGTCTCATCAAAACAAAAACCGAGGTTGTGAAGACGGGTCGAACGAGGAAACCTCACGCACTCAAACACAAACCGAAAAAACAAAAAATATGCGTGTGTACTAACTACTGAATGCAGCACATGGAAGTGCACACGGGCGTAAACACCACATAGATGCCTTACGACATACGTGCAAACATATCTCACAGCATTATTATCTCTTTAGTAATACGGACGGGGTTAGAAATCATAACGGGATTGAAAAACAACATTGTTTCTAAACCCACGGCCGGAGGTCACAGCATTGCTGAGGGTTTAGGTGAGATTACACCATCCAACGCTGCGCCGGAGGCCCGACTCGCGGGGGGCAAATGAAACGGAGAAGCGCGCGAAGGTCACACGCGCGAAGGTTACACAGCAGAAAGTGTTCAAAGCGAAGTCAAGCGATGTGTCGTGAATTTAGCGTTAGCTAAAACGAGCAGGCCGACGGCACCGCGGTGGAAACCGATGGGACGCGTTTTCCGTTAAAAACACCGACTTACTTTGCGGAGACACAGAGGAACACGTAGTGGTCTCTGGCGGTGTGTACCTGTGAGTATGTGTGCGTCCTTTTGTGTCTCCGCCGGGCCTTGAGTTCCGGCCCCGAGTGACATCTCTCATTGTGCCTACTGGCTACTGTTAGCTTAGCGATAAGGTTAATGTTGAATTTAAGTCTTGAGGTAGAACAACACAGTGAACATGCGCGTGTGTGTGTGTGTGTGTGTGTGTGTGTGTGTGTGCGTGTGTGTGAGACTGTGATGACAGCTTGACAGAAGCAGACGACCTCCAGGATTAAGTTTATTTATCCTTCAGCTCGTTGCGGCCAGCAGCTAGCAGGCATCTCTGACCCTATCGCTCCAGATTTATAGGTTGTGTGACGTGATCACTGACATGTTATTTGTAGAGACGATAAACAGAATGACATCAGAATGGAGCCGGCGAGCACAATGCGAGATAAATGTTTAAAACCTGACGTTTTGAGCCTGTTTGTATTGAACAAAGTGTCTGAGGCGACCCGGCTTGGCCGCGCGCCTCCTGTTGGCCGGTTCGCAACCGTTGACGTTGTTATGACACCGATGTCCAGCGGCCCTCCGTGGCTGTGGATTCACGGGCCGCCTCTGTCACGGAGCTTTTAGGCAAATGACTAACCACGCGCAAGTTCTCGCCGGCGGCGGCGCGGGACCATCTCTGGAAAGCAAACATCCAGTCCCAGATCCACCGGGACACCGGACGGCAGAACGTTTCGTGAGCGACAACATGGGACAGCGCACGAAAGGACAGTAAATATAATGTAGTATCAAAGCTGCTAGCACGGCGCTAACAGCTCATGCAGGACTCACTCGGTACTCTGTTGATGGCTCGCAGAGGCCGGAGCACTCGGACGGTCCGGATGGCTGACAGACTGGCGTTGTGGCCGTCCAGAGAATACTCCAACACCCTGAGGACGCGGACGGAGACAGGCAGGAAGGAAGGGGGGTGTTTCACTTTGTGGGTGTAGCAGATGTGTGTCCGCACAAAGCAACAACAAACAATCCGAGAACACAACAACAATGTCACTGTGCCAACATAATTACCGCGCCCATGACATTTAATCACACGAGTCCCAAACATCAACAATGTGACGGGCGGCAGAGAGGCAGAGAGGGACACTTCTGGTCTTTATTGTGTGTTTGTTGTGCTCTGCTTTGTGGTTGTGTGCCGCGCGAGGAGGCCGCTCATGGTGCGTAAGCACACAGCTGTATCGTCTGTATAGAGTTCACGTTTGGACGCGTCTTTGCGTGAGATCTCGCTTACTTTGTGTTCAGCAAAATGTGATTTTCTTTTTTTTTTTACATTAACGGAGCGCGTTTGTCTCCGGATGCAAAATGGAGCAATTTGTGGGAAAGAGCCGAGGAGCATTGTGGGATACCGACCCGGCCATGACAATGACGAAGTCCAGCTGGTTCCACTTGTCGCCGAGGTAACAATTGGGGCCAAAAATTCCCAGCGCCACCATCTTGATGATCATTTCCACGGCAAAGAAAGCAAAGATGCAATCATCCAGTACCTGCAAAAAAACACACAGGTGGAATTACGACAATCGGAGCAGGAGGATATCATTCGACAGAATAAGGTCGGCTCCTCGTTTAAGTTTCCTCATCACGTTTCCATAGAAGCCGAGGTAGAGCCAGTGGAGGTGGTTGCAAAAAATAAATTCTTGTCTCCATTAGTTAGATTCATCCCAGCAGGGAATAGCTCTGGCTTAGCGTGGTTAAGACTGTGTCTCAATTAATTAGACAACTTCTACAGCAGAAAAAAAGAGAAGAAGAACGTCTGTATTTGAATATAATGAGCACATCTCAGAGAGCCAAGAATCTACTTTGCTCTGCAACACAAGCATGTTGGAGCAAACCAGAAGAAAGAAGGGAATTGTCATTCCCATTTGCTCATAAATTGTTCTTGTTATTGTTCTTGTTGTGGCTCTTCCAGTTTATTCCCAGCTACTTAAGATTTAAATCAATGCCTGCGGTGAATTGCACATTTTATCTGCATCAAACAGTCCTTTATGTTCTGCACATCAGCGAGGCCCCTTTACATTTTCCAGGAGTCATAATAAAGACCTGGAACAAGCGTGGAAGAACATGTCACCATTTTAATGTGACGGGAAACACACGACGCGAACGCACTGACCTGCAGGATGCGGCACCACTCCGCCTGACAGGTGACGTCTTCGCAGGGCTGGAACATCCCCAGCGTCACGCAGTTGAGCAGGATGACCAGCATGGACACGTGCTCGAACCACGTGCACACAGGGGTTAAGAAAACACACACGGGGACTGATGGAACGCACAACGCGGCTCATTCAGGGCGGAGGAAAGGAAACGCAAGCTCATGCTGACGTCCACAGCCTGCAGGTAACGAAAGGTAAGCGTGCACAGGAAGCGCTTAAATCCCAGAGAAAGAGCAAACCACCAATCAGCATCACGCAGCCGGATGGCGAGAGGGAGGGTTTTTGCAGGTCTAATGGACATAACGGGACCAAAGATGACCCGGAGGGACTATTAATGTGTTTAGAGGCCTTTTTACAATGTCTTAGATAAACAGTGAAATGGCTCCATGTCTGCTGTACATCCTGTGGCATCGTTGAGCGAGTGCAAGTGAAAACCAAGGAGAAGAAGATGTCGCAAAGGGGATTTTATAACCCTGCACATGCAAATCTTTGATGCAATCTGTAGATCTTTCTTGTCTCGCGTCGACTGACTGAAACGGAGTAATCTTTTGTTGATTTCGGTTCGCTTGTGTGATCCTTTCTTTATCCTTTTCAGGACTTTGTGTGAGATTATCTATTTAGGGCAAGGAAGTAAGTTACAGAGGTCACGCCGGGGGGGTCACGAGTGGACCAGTTCTCCCCTTCGTTACAAATCCATCCATGAGGAGCGGCGACTCAACGGGGACGGAGATTTGACTCATTTGTCTCGTGCAGCGAGACGCTCGTTTTCTATCAAATCGATGGGAAAAACATCCGGCGGCACCAAAACCCCTCACGTGTTTTTTTTTTTCCTCCTCATAGAAAGCTATTAAAATGTGTTGAAGCCGTGTGCGCGCTCGCCACGGAGGGACACACATCGCGTGGATCAGTGCATCCCCAACAACATTATGTCATAAGTCCATCGCTGCAGCGCAAGAATCCACCCAGTGAACACGAACACGTGACAATAACGCCCAGTGACGGCGTCCTGAGATGTTCTTTGGTCACGTATGTAATCCCCGCGCGGTGAAGGAGTGGGACGGGGGGGCTGAGTGGAAGACGCAGAGATCGGAGGAGGGGATGGCTTTAAATCATGTCTCCTAAACCAGAGGAGAAGCCACTGATGCTGCTGTTTTTCTGCTTAAGTCCCAGAAACACACATGCACGCACACACACAAACACACACACACACACACACACACAGGCCGGGATCCGGAGGGTGCATCGAGTTGCAGTGTATTCCCATAGTGGAAGAACGGTTTTAATTAGAAAGCTGAGGCGAAAAACAAATGGTGACCATTGTCTTCTGCATCACTTACACACAAACGTCCTGCACACAGCGACACACACACACACACACACACACACATAGTGAATGCAGGCATCTGTAGATACATTTATTCCAAACACACACACAAAGCACAAACACACGTCTAAGTTTAAAAGTTTAAAATATTTTTTTATGGATCCTTCTTTCTCAGATGACAGATTCAGTAATCTGAGGCAGAATTAAAATGAGAGATTGGAATATTCAGAGAATCTGTCTTTCTGATTTCTCCAATTCCTCTTAATCTCCACAGCCAACACCTCCTGAGCCCCCTTCTGCCTCACACACACACACACACACACAGTATTAACGCATAAATCCTCAAAGTCAGGCCGGACTGTTGCTGCGGAGTCTTCGGTCTGGCTTTCAGTTAACAGAAAAAATATCTTGTTTTTTTTCCTTCTTCTCTAATTAATTTCAGCGTCAGTCTCACACAGACGTTCATAAAATACAGCTGGGTTTTTTGGTGTGTTTCGATAAGCTTGGATTCCCTCCAGGCTCCTGGTCCCACTTGTGGAGGTTGATTTAATGCCGGGTCTGCGTCACTCTGGATGTGAGGGATTGTGGGTGTCACAGTTTAACAAAGGAGGACATTTCTTATTACCATTCATCACCCGTCCGTATAGAAAAAGAGAAATGACCTGAAACATCATGCTGTGTTGAAGAATACTTGAAACTTGAGATTGAGACATGAACTCATGTTTACAATGCTTACTGAGGAAATAAATCAGTCATTTTGTCATAGACGTCTATGGGAGCAGAGGAGTCGCCCCCTGCTGGTCACTACAGAGAAGTAGAGTCATTTCCTCATAGACGTCTATGGGAGCAGAGGAGTCGCCCCCTGCTGGTCACTACAGAGAAGTAGAGTCATTTCCTCATAGACGTCTATGGGAGCAGAGGAGTCGCCCCCTGCTGGTCACTACAGAGAAGTAGAGTCGTTTCCTCATAGACGTCTATGGGAGCAGAGGAGTCGCCCCCTGCTGGTCACTACAGAGAAGTAGAGTCGTTTCCTCATAGACGTCTATGGGAGCAGAGGAGTCGCCCCCTGCTGGTCACTACAGAGAAGTAGAGTCGTTTCCTCATAGACGTCTATGGGAGCAGAGGAGTCGCCCCCTGCTGTTCAGGAGAGAGAAGTAGCGTTGTTTTCTCATAGACGTCTATGGGAGCAGACTCTTCGGTTTCACTATTCAGACCCGGAGGTTGCCGCCAGCAATTTGTTTTTGGAACCTTTGTGTATCAGCGGTTTGAATCTAGAAATAATTAACATTGTTCATAATCCTCTTGTATAAGCAACGATGCAAGGAGTAATTTGTTGTACCAATCTATTCATCTGTTCATCTTCTCAAATTGCTTTAATTGTCGAGCAAACTGCGTATCGACTCGTTTTTATGGTGCAAGCGATAATTTAGCTCCTCCAGTATCAGTGGGCACAAAATCTGTTTCGCTGGAACAATTTGGTGAGTCGCTGGAGGGGCGAGAGTACCTGCTAATTAAAACAGTTTGACACCGGAGGGAAACAAGGACAACGCGTTCTAAAGAACGCGCATTCGATTTGTGACCGCAGCCCCCCAATGACTCAGTGTTTGTCTTCATCATCTGCTGCGCTAATGTGGGACAATACAACACCCCCCCCCCCCCCAACACACACATCACAACGCGGTAGTCTGCATTTGTAAGTGCTTGTTGAATCCGTACCACACTCTGTCATAGAAAAGTCTCACACCTGCAGCGACTGTGATAACGCGGATACACATTCGCTAAGGAGACACATGCGCACACACACACATACGCACACACACACGGTTATGTCTTTTTCCCTCCCTTCTTTCTTTTCCCCCGTCCTAGATTCGGCCGGGGGGGGGTTCTTTGGGATGGGTGGGATGAGTGACCGGAAACAGAATGTGTTGCCAAATTACAGGAAAGTTAAAGGCGGAAAACCACGAGAATAAACGACAAATTAAAGCAATTAAGATGTTTCTCTGCGGGTGAATTTAGCACTTATCTAACATATGCAGATACAAACAACGATTTTTTTATATCAGACAGAATCTACTCATTTGTAAAAATGTGCCATTTTGAGCCAGAAGTAAATCCCGGGGAATGTTTGAGTCAAAACATTTGCTTGTTGGTGGAGGAACATCAACGCCAGAAGGAACCTCCCCCCCTTACTTCTACGACACCCTTGACCCTGTCCTTCACCCCGTCTCACCACCTGCCCACCCCCCTCATTTCTCTACATTATCTCTACTCTTATCCTCCAACCTCGCTCGCTTCATCATCTTCCTCTTGTACAATCCATTTCTCTGATGCCCCCCCCCCCCCCCCCAGAGCTTTCCCCCTTTTATTAAAGGAAAGAACACTTCAGCCGTCCGGAGGTAGGAACCTAAAAATGGTGTTCCACAGCTTTACTCGTGGTCCACAACCCTGAACCACAGTTTGTATGTTTATAGTTTTTCTCTGTCAGGGGCACAATAAAGATACTGACGGCTTTGATGGAAAGCGGCCAAAACCCCTGCGAGGACTCTTCTCTTGCTACAAAAAACTCCTCCGGGGTTCTTCTGGGGGAACCCGGACTCTCAACTTGCGGCCGAAAAGTTGCAGTTTTATAGTAGTTTGAGACTCCCAACAATTTGCCTACATTGGCGTCAGAAAAAACCTAATATTAAGCCCGTTCGGCAAGTGCAGCTTCCTGTCAGGTTGGGACTCTTTGGGTTGGTTAATAACTCCGGGAGGAGTCCCTGTGAGAACCGTAATGCTCCAATTGCCCACTATTACCCTAAAAAATAACAAAACCTCCCCCCCTGTGATTACTGCTTCGAGGATTTAGCAGAAGGACTAGTTGTCACATGTGTCCTGCAGCGTGTGTGTGTGTGTGTGTGTCTGTGTGCGCTCCAGATTGGCTCGTCTCGGCGAGGCCCCTGGAGCACGACTCTGGAACAGAACCTCATAAATCCGCCCGTCCCTGAACTTGATGCCTCGGCCCCTCGGAGCAGGGGGGGGGGGGGGGGGCAGCAGTGACGCAGTTACACCAGGATTCCCTCCGAGCTCTTTCCTCTGCAAAGCCTGTTTATTCCTGTCTGTTGACTCCGCTTTGTCGTCACGGTGAAACAAGAGCAACTTTACACCGACTACCGAGGTTCTCTCCTATACCATCCCCCCCACCATCTGCATGCACAGGTGTGATGCGTGTGTGTGTGTGCAGGTGTGCAGGTGGGTGTCATAGAGGACAAAAAGGGAGGACAGAGATTCAGCGCTCAAAATAGAGCAGCTGCATCTGATTGGGTGTGGACTTAAACCTCACACACACACACACACACACACACACACACACACACACTCACACACACACACACACACACTCACACACACATTAGAGGGTCCAACTGTTCAGCTCGACCTTGAGGTGTTGGCTCCTCTACAAGATGCAGAATTGCAGAATTGTGAGAAAGACCCTCACACACTGTTAAGTTAAGTTAAGTTAAAAATATCACCTCTTGCTTAAAAAGAGATGTGAATATTTGATATATGTGAAGACATGTATATGGGTATACGTGTATATGGGTATACGGGTGTACGGGTGTACGGATATACGAGTATAGGGTATACGGGTATACGGGTATAAGGTATATGGGTATATGGGTATTTGGGTATACGGGTACAGGGTATGCGGGTATATGGGTATATGGGTATATGGGTATTTGGGTATACGGGTATAGGGTATACGGGT